TGTCTAATTAGAAATACGTAATATATAGCATCGAGAAGCACAGTCGAGAATCGAATGAATAATAATCAAATGACTGTTGTCGAATAAAAACTAAGTCATATAAGACCAGGGTTAAAAAGGAATCGTAAGCAATTCGAAGTTCTCGAAAAATACAGAATCGAGAGTAAAGAAAGCCAATGTGGACATCGAGACTTTGGCCAAATCGTGAAAGGAAGTAAGTCGAATGCACGTATAAAGAGCAGTTTTGAAATCATGGGAAAAAGTCGGAGATCGTGAGAACGTGGGAAACTATAGAAGATAAACTGCCATACGCACGTAGAACGTGGTAGCAGTCGTGTTAACTGCTCTCGGAAGGCTTGAAGGATGCCCTATAAATAGAGCAAAGGAGGAAGGAACAAGGGGGCAGAAATTGGCAGAGAACAGAATCAGTAGTGAAAAGTCTACCGGAGAAACGACGAACACCATGAAGCTTCTGGCAATCTGGATTTCCTTGCTCACTGAGTACATTTACCGCTTTCTGTATTTTCCTTGGTAATTTACTTTGATGCAATTTAAATTCAGCAAGTTCAAGTTTCTGTATTTTCGATTCCTTGTCATTACAATTCAATGAAAGTTTAAGTTTCTGCATTTAAGTTTCCATGTTATTCAACATTCTGCAAATCTCGATTTCCTGTCATTTATATTTTGCGCCATTTTCGATCTCTTGTTATTTACAATTAATGCAAATTTGGGATTTTTGCACTTTATATTTTCTTGCAATTTAATGTTCTGTTTCTCGATTCGATACTTTACTGCTTTCAGTACTTGAAATACAAAATACCAAAAACAGCTTTTTTGATATCTTGTGATTTTCGATCCTCATACACGTTTTCGATTGAAAGTTAGACTGCTAGCCTAAGTAAAAAGAACTTACGTGGGAGGAGTTCGATTAGGACCATAACACTGTGTAGAATCGAAATCGATCGAAATTCCACCAGAAACACTCACTCTTCTCATTTAACCTGCGTGAAATAAAGTTTTGTAATAATATTATAAATTAAAAGAAAAACTACTTTAATAAAGTAGAGATTATAGTTATTTAAATGTTATAATTTCTTGATATGGTTTTATTATATTTTGTTGTTTTTAAAAGGATTTTTTATAATATCTTTATAAGAACTTTTATATCCCACTCTTTAATTTAATAAGAATTTTTTATTATATCTCTTATTTCATTATAAACTTTTTATCATATTTTCTTATCCCAAAAGAAATTTTCATCACAAAGATTTTTAATTAAAACAATAAAAAATATATTTTTTCAAAATTATTTTATTTCATCATAAATATTTTTAATCTAAAAAAATAAAAATATATTTTTTCAAAATTATTATCATATCATAAAATTATCAAAAGTTATAATTTTTTGTTGTTAGGTAAAAAAATTATATGTATTATAAAAAAACATTACTTTAAAATATTAGATTAAAAAAATAATTTTTAAACTTTTATTTTTTTTAGTTCATAATTTTTTTATTATATATATATATATATATATATATATATATTAATATCGATAAGTATATAACTATTTTATTATTTTTATATACTATTAAAAGTTAAATATGAATTAAAATATCACATTTAATAAAAATTAAAAATTAAATAATATAAATAAAAAATATACAATATCTACTCATAAATATTAGATATAATATGAAATCTTTAAATATTATTAAACGTAAATTTTTTATTTTAACTAAATCATATATTGTTCAAGTTTTCTTTTACTCCATTTTGAATTTTTAAAAGTTTGATTTTTTTTGTTTTTATGAAAATATTTTGTATATTAGGCCAAGGAAGATAAACTAATCTCATTAACCACTGATATTGTATGTAATTTCAAACGAAATATTTAATTTAAAATATATAAAAAAATATGTAAGAATTGAAAAAAATAAAAATAAAAGTTGGTAAAAATTAGGAATAATACAGTTTCTCTTTTATAAATATCAACTAATTAATTTAATAGGATTAAGAAAATTGATTAACTTAGTCATAATCTTAAATTTTTATATACATACACTTAATCGAGATACAAGATTTAGAATAATTTCCAAGGAAATTGAATTGAAAGAAAAAAAATAAAAATTAACCAATTCGTAATTTATAATAAAACTGTTACTCGATTAAAACTTTATGTATTTTGGGTTGGGCTAATCTTTTTGGGCTCAAGCCAAGCCCGTCATAGTCATGGCCGAATGAAACTCGTATACTTTTAATATAATATAACAATTGTATTTTGTTTAAAATATATTCATTTTTTTTAACAGATTGATTTTTTTTATAATATTTAAAAGTAATATGTTAACTAAAAATTTATATATAAAACAATGAAAGTTTAAAATGATTTTTTTAAAACGTTTAATATTTCATAAATAATTAAAACATTTTATCATTATATATTAACAATATTTAAAAAAATATTATCACTCAATTATAATTTGCCATACAAAATATAAACAATATATATTTTTAGAAAAAAACTATATAGATAGCGTAGCCTAATTATTGCCTATATAATAAAATGATTTTGGCAAAAAAAAAAGAAAAGCAAAAGAAAGTATTAAAAAATAGGAGATTGTGAGTCACGATAAAATGGAGTGGACCATACACAAATCTATTGTCTGCAAAGAAGGGGGAAAAGGTTTAAATTGAAGGTATTGGAAATCTTAATTGAAATTCGAGCTTTGAAAAATTAATTATAGCAAACGGTGCATGCATGAATCATGATTGAGGCACTTTTAATTAAATGTTTCTTCTTTGGTTTTAAAATAAATTAATATTGTAATTTCTTAACTAGAGTATTCCATGGAATTAAGGTATATATATATATATATATATATATATATATATATATATATATATATATATATATATATATATATATATAATATAATATAGAGGAAAGTAAAAAGAAAAATAAAAAATTTTATGAGTAAGAATTGAACAATAACACCTAATGGACTTTGTATGTAGGAATAGACATGTTTGCAAACATTAACATTTTATTCTTAAATTGTTTGATAAAATAAAAAAGAAATATATGTATACTTTTTATTTAATTTTAATTTAAAAATTATTATTAATAAATTTTTAATAAGATGATAAAACAAATAAGTCTATTCTATTTTTGTTTATTTAACTTTTAGTCTCTTAAAAATCAAATAAAATGAGTTGGTCCATCATTAGGCGGGCTCAATAATAATTTTTTTTATATATATTTAAAAAAATATAAATTTAATTATACAAATAATTTTAAAATTTTATTTATTAATTGATATTTTTATTAGATAAATTATAAAATTTTTATGTTTATATGTTCATATAATTTATTATAATCAATAATTTAAATTTAATTAATTAAATTTTATAATTTAAATTATAATATATTTATATATTAAACAATATGGTAAAAATATATTATTTTTATTTAAATGTTATATTTTTATTTTAATATATAATTTTTTTAAAATGGGTCAATTCTTTTTATCCTACCTAATTTTTTGCTTGGTAAAAAATTATGGTGATCAGTTGGTATGGATTTAATCATATTTACTTATTTAATTCTTCTTGTTAGGTTTATGTTTATTTATTAATATTTTTCCTTAAGATAGACTTGTAAGTTATAATTAAATGGTGGTATTATTTTCTTTAATTTATTATTATTATTTTATATTCTCATTGATTTTTTTTTTCACTATGATTTCTTGTGTTATTGTTTAAAAGAGATATTAATATATTTCATTTCGATTCAATACATTTTAAAACATAATTATATATTTTTTGGTAAAATTAATTTGTATCATAAAAACCATTTTTATTATAATATTTTAAACAATTTTTTCTCAATAGTAAATTCATGTTTCTTGGTAAGTTTGAGTTGATTTAAAGGACATCATTATGGATTTTTAAAATGAATTTGACGGAAAAAAAAGTTTAATTAATTTTTGTGATTGGTCCAAGCTCCATATCTGAATCCAACACAAATTAACACCTTAGATTAAAAAAACATAGGAAAAAAAACAGTTCTAAAAATGGAAAAGCTACATTATTTTTGTCTTTGTTGAAAACCTAACTTTCAAAGGTAAAACATATTTAGAAGTGTTCCAACTCAGAAACCAAACCAAGACCAAAGTGGTGAATGGTAGCAACCCAACCACCAGCACCTCCACCTTTCCACCCAACTTTCCTTTATTTTCCATCGCCACGTTCTGGGAAAGGCAAAATTAAGGAATCAGAGAATAAACATTTTTTAACAACTTCATACTTCATGTATTAATATTTTCTTTCCTCCCATTTTCTTTCCATAGCAACTGTTCTCTTAAAAAAAAAAACTTTTTACTGATTAAAAAAATATTTTTTCCTTTCGCTAATTAAATATATATGATTTTTAATTTAAAACTAATTTATATTTATGATGTTTTTCTCTATAATATTATTCTAAAAATCTAATCTAAAATTAAAGATATTCTCGACTTAATCCAATAACTCTAAATTCAAATCAGAACAACCAACCTGTTAAAAAAAATTTAGGATTAAGTTATAAAAAGGTTCTTCACATATATGTTATATATTATAACTATAACAATATTAAATTAGAATTTTTCTAATCTTTCTAATATAGTTTATTGTAATTATTTCTTCCGTTAAAAAAATGTAATAAAAATATCATGTAATCTATCTTAATTGTCTGGATAACTTTTTTGTTACTTACCTCAATTTTATATATAATTTATAAGTTGATTTCAATTTAAAATTTGATTATTAAGGAAAACTGTAGAATAATTTTTCAATTTTAATATTTTTGTTTGCTGGTTCACTTCTTTTATTAATTTATTTAATTTTATTATTTATTTTTTAGTGAAAGAAAAGCTTATTTCATGATTTGTTACTTGAATCAGGGATCATACTATAGTTACAAGTTATAATTAATTCATTTATATTTCCATAAACCAAAAATGAAGGAGTAATACTTTTAAGTAGATCGGAAAAGTGTCAATTATATTATGTCACTTTTTTATATTTTTCTAATGATGATGAATATGAAAATATCACAGTAGAAACTAAACATATCTGAATTACCTATGTTCATGATTAAACTAATATTTACAATAAAATTAAGTGAATCTAATTCTAAAGAAATTATAGTTAACAAAATTAAAAGTATTTTTTATTAAATAAAATTATCTCTACATTTAAATTTATTATTATTATTAATTAACTAACTTACCGACACATCAATTCTCTTTTTAAAAAAATGAAAAATACTCAAAAATAATGAAAATTATAATAATCCGACTTTGTCATGTATAATAATTATTTCCATCTTTAATTTACTCAAAATTTAATTATAGATAAGAAATGACGAAGTTTTATTTTATTTTTAAGTGAGTTGAAATCTTACCGAGTAAATAAAAATAAAAATTGAGTAATTTATAATAAAAATCTATTAATTAATACTTCAAAATTTTGGATTGAAGTTGTTTTTACATTTTCTTATTTAATTGATTAATATTTATTATTGAGAATCCCTCCTTGTTAATCCCTCACTTCTAAAAAATACGCAACTTGTTTTATTTTAGTTTATCTGAAAATATATCTCATTTTTAAAACCCAACGAAAAAGTAATATTATTTAGAAAACCGCAATTACATTTCACCTAAGAAAATATTAATAATTTATGTAAACAATAATTTTCATAGAAGATAAATCTTCTTAAAATGAAATGATAATAATATAAAAAGATGATGGAGTTGAATGTTGCTACATATTCATCCATCTTGGCTCAGTTTTTTTATTAGGAAATAGTATTTTAATGGCGGAAATGAGGTGGGAGTGCACATTGTGTGTCTTGGTGGTGCAAGATCCAATTTTGAAGACCTTGATCATGGAACAATAAAACAAGATAATGACAAAATCAAATATTTTTCTATTGCCAATTTTTTAAAGTTCATGCGTGGTGCAGACAACACAACCTCATTGAAAGCTGCACAAACATAAAAACAATGTGGTTCTGCTGTACCCACATACACCTTAAGTATTGTAACAATCAAATTGTAATATTTTTACAAACATTCATGGATGTTACAAAATAATATAATCAACCAAACCACTACCAGACATATGTCAACTGGAATCTGAAGCCTGAATGCATCCACTATTTCCAAAACTTTCAATTTTATATTTCCTGTGTTTGCCAAATGCCAGATCTATTCCTCAAACTAAACTTCACTCACTTTTTTACATCTAAACCGAGCCACTTCAAACACAAAACTCCAACATTCAATCATTGAAAATTCTTCCTCCAATATGCATTCATTGTGAAATTATCAAACCATTTCGAATGATTTAAGTTTCAGGGTTACCTAACTAAAAAAAATTGTAAGTTGAGGTTGTAAGTGTGGCATTGTTGCAACATTAATAGTTTATGTTGATATTGAAAATGACCATTATGAAATGAAAATGACAAGGCCGACAAAAAATTGCAAAGAAGCACAAAGCAAGAATGATGCAGAGATTGAGATAAGGGGGGGACGCTATGGATTTCGGTACGTTAGGCACTTTTGTCTATGATGATAGATAGATCCATAACCTAAGAAATATGAGTGTGTTTCTTTACCATTTAATTCTGTGTATAACCATGCAAAAATTGTCGGAAAATTCAGCATTATTTTTTAGTTACAGTGATGGTGGAATATACATAGAGAAGAATGAAAAAGAATTAAGGGCAGAACTCAGAAGCTTTTAGCCATGCTGGTTGGAATTTAATCGATGAATCAATCATGTGTGTCACTGTAAAATTTGGAAAGCAAGGAGGGTCCACCACCTATGATGTTAAGTAACACTAGGCAACTTCTCTTGCTATATCATTCTCTTTCTCTGTTTCTGTTCTTCTCTCTCTAAATGTCTATGGTATAAATTTATCGATGTATCTATCTATCTGCATATACAAATGATACTCTCTTTTTACATGGTTTGCTTTTCCACCTTTTTTTCTGCTTACTTTACGAGAGAAGGGAAAGAGGAGTGTATATAAACAAAAGTTTATAGGAAAAATAATTGAGCTTGATTAAAAGCAAAATATATTATAAACAATAAAGAAGGAAAAGATTTTTCTGGTGTTTAGAAAGAGAACAGAGGAAAAGACAGAAAAGCGCAACGTCAGAGTTAGCCGTAGGGTTCTCCTTGGTTTGTGGTTTCCGGTATTGTTTTTCACTGCATCAGATACAGAGGGAAGAGAATACTTCTTCTCATCTCTCTCTATCTATCTCTCTCTCTCTCTCTGTCTCTCTTTCTGATTTTGAACTTTGAGTAGCTTGTTCTACTTTTTTGTTCATATTATTAGTGTGGACATAAATCACTGGATTTTCTTGGTACATATAAAAGAAAAAAAATTGTCTGTTGGGTTGGTGCCAAACAAGTACAGGAAACTATCAATTAAGTTTACAGTATTTGTTTCACTTCACAGATGTAGAGAACTCTCTTCAATTTTCATATTTTTCCCCCACTCATACTGTTTTTTTCTTTGTTGGGGTTTCAAAGACCATATATTCCCTAGTTGTATGTCAATTTTGCCTCTTTGTTCTGCTCTTTTCTCACTAGTCCAGTTCCAGCCTTTTTCTTTTTCTGTCTTAGATGAGGGTTGTTCTTAGATCGATCCCAGAAGTTAGCAAGACTGGTAACATAAGAAAAACTCAGATCTAGCTATGGCTCATGACAATTCAAAAAGGTCCAAATATGAGAAAAGATGACGAAGGGTTTGATGTTCCAAAAACCATGTCTAATTTGACTTCTGCATCGGGTGAAGCTAGTGCTTCTTCAGGCAACAGAACCGAAATTGGCACTGATTACTCACAACAATACTTTGCTCCACAATCAACTCAAACCCAGATTCCACTAAAGAAAAAGAGAAACCTTCCAGGGAACCCAGGTTTTTTTATTTTTATTTTTTTATATGTATATATATCTCTATTCAAACATCAAAGCATAGTTTGTTTTGTTTTTTTGTTTTGGTTTTGGTTGGTTTGGTGTATGTCCTTGTCTTGTTTATCTCAATTGGGTTTACCTGTTCCTTTTTGTTTGGTTTTGTGTTTGTATTTTCTTAATTGTTTATTCAGACCCGGAGGCTGAAGTTGTCGCGTTGTCTCCAAAGACTCTCTTGGCCACGAATAGGTTCATTTGTGAGATCTGCAACAAAGGGTTTCAAAGAGATCAGAATCTCCAACTTCACAGAAGAGGGCACAATTTACCATGGAAGCTGAAGCAGAGAACGAGCAAAGAGATCAGGAAGAAGGTTTATGTGTGCCCAGAACCAACTTGCGTCCACCACGACCCTTCAAGGGCCCTGGGGGACCTAACTGGCATCAAGAAGCACTTCTGCAGGAAGCACGGCGAGAAGAAGTGGAAATGTGACAAGTGCTCCAAGAAGTATGCTGTTCAATCAGACTGGAAAGCTCACTCCAAGACCTGTGGCACAAGAGAGTACAGATGTGACTGTGGAACCCTCTTCTCAAGGTAACTAACCTAAGCCCATCACCTATATCTATCTATCTATCTATATATATATATATGAATTACGGGTTCACTTCACACAAGTCAAATACATCATTCATTTATGAAGCGTGCTATATGAATCCGAGGTTGACTCAAAATTCCACCACCTCTCTTTCTTACATTCATATTTGTACAACATTAAACCCACGTTGCTTCTCCCTTCTTACAATGAAGAAGATGATACACTAAACAAAGGGTATATACTATATATACTAATACTATATATATATATATATATATATATATATATATATATATATATATATATATATATATATATATATATAGTATATAAAAATAACTACACCTTGTGAGAGAGAAAATTTGAGTGCAGTGAGCCAGGTGCCTACCAAACATGGAGTATGTGTGTGTATGTGTGTGTCTAACTGTCTTTTAGGTGTTGGGAAAAGAGAAAGCGTCAAAATTTGTGGACTGTTACAGCACTTTAGTGACATGGGTTTGGTTTGGTTTTGTTTGTATGTGTATTTGTTTATGACAATCAGGAGGGACAGTTTCATAACCCACAGAGCCTTCTGTGATGCATTAGCAGAGGAGAGTGCAAGATCTGTGACAGGCATAGACATACCCAACAACTCAGCTCCAACTCTAACAACACCTCATCAACAGGGAGCAGGAGTAGTGATCTCTTCATCTTCTCATCATCAAGACATCCATGGTAACAATTTCCCATTGAAGAAAGAGCAGCAAGGTTTCATGCCACCTTGGCTTGGACAACCACCCTCCACCATTGATCTCTCTTCTTCCTCATCATCATTCTTCTCTCACCAAGATCACGTGAGTAGTCTCCATGAAAACCCTAACCCTAGAGGTGGTGGTGGAGGTGGTCCCACTCTCCCTCCCTACCCAACAGCGCCTTCCTCTCCTCACATGTCAGCCACAGCGTTGCTGCAGAAAGCAGCCCAAATGGGAGCTACCATGAGCAAAACTGGCTCCATGATCAGGACCCACCAACAGACTCACGTGTCTGCTGACTCTTTGAATTTGTCCTCACGTGACGACCAGACGACCCCCACTTCCAACACCACCACTCCCCATGGCTTGGTACCTTTCGGAAATAAAGCAGTTCCTGGTGTTAGCGTTGGTGTTTCTCCATCACTCCTTCACCACGTTATCAACTCTTACTCTTCCCCTTTTGAAGGGGCTTCTTTTGACGATCCTTTTGATGGTGGCGTGACCGTGACGAAAACAACCGCCGCTGATGACGGTGTTTCCGGCGGAGGAAATAATAATGAGGCCATGACCAGAGATTTCTTGGGTCTTAGACCCCTCTCTCACTCTGATATTCTCAACATTGCTGGCATGGGAAACTGCATGAACTCCCAGCATAACCAAACCCAAAACCCTTGGCAAGGTTAGCTCCAAATATATGTCTTATAATATATATATGTGCATTTTCCTTTTCCTTATTTTATTAAAATATATAAACATTTATTTAGTTTTCTTCTAAATTTTTGCTTTTGTTCATGATATGTTGTCAATCTTCCCAAAGGGAGTGTGACCTTCCAGAATCTTAATACTTATGTAGTTATATTTTACAATTTTATGTGATCTTAGTATATTTTTTATTGGGCATTAAAAAAAATATTTTTAATGTAATTAATTAATTTTTCTTAGATTTAAAATATGTAAGAAATCTGGATGATAAACACACACTAATGTCATTAATATTGTTTCGTTATCAATTATTAATAATTGTTTGAATAAGAATTTCTGACAATTACTTAGACCAAAAACATTAATCCTAGGAGAATATAAATATAAATTAGTTTTTTTGTCTCCATAGATGATATATATACTATAAGTCTTCTTTTTATTTGTTTTTAGATTTTTTATTTATTTCTTCTAATGTTTATTTTTCATTTCATTTGTGTAATATTTTGTTCATTTCAAATTAGTCATTTGAAAAAAAATGGTAGAGTCTGTAAACAAATTATTTATATAGTATAAAGACAAACACATAAAATGAAAACATTATAAGGACTAAAGTAAAATAACAAACTTTATAATGAGTAAAACCAAAAAATGATATTTTTATACAAAAAATATTTAATTCATTTTAGATATCATGAAACTATATACATTACCAAAAAATATATGAATTTGATTATTATGATATAAACGTTAACCCATAAATGAAGCTATATAGATGCGTCAATGCTTCTTAAGTCAATTATAAATGCAAAAAAATAATATTTATATTGGTATAATTTGTTTACAAAAAATTAAACTATAAAAATATATAGAAGTAAAAAGGAAGTAAGTGAATAAAAAGTATGTTTTTTACATATTTTATGATGGGTTTGGTTAATTATTTAAAAGTGAAAGAGATTAGAAGATAAAAGTGTGATTATAATAATAATAATAATAACTAATAACTAAATAATAAAGATTGTGAAAATTATATATGCTAAATACTAGAGGTAGTTTCTCAAAGAGCAAAGATTCAATCTTCATCTTTATCTGTATTAATTTTCAAAATCAAGTGAAACTGATATTAGTAAATAAAATTTGTGATAGAACTATTCATCTTTTCAAAGTTTCCACTTTTAGAATGGGGTGATACCTTTTTTTTAATCATGTATCTGGATATAACTTTATATTCTTTTCTGACAAATTTTTGTCTTTTATGCTTTCTTGCCTTTGGATTGAAGCTGAAATATGTTTGTTGTGATAAGAATAACACGACGAGTCCTTATCACACGCCATTTTTTAATTTTCTGGTTCACGCAGCTTTGCAGAACTAAAGAAACACAGATGAACATTAAGTATGATAAACGTTAATGCCCAAAATGTGTATGTTTAGATAAAAATTGAGAATATGGTTTTAAGAATAAAGAATTGGTTGCTTTCAGAGTAAAGATAGTATTTTTAAATTCTCCCAACAACATGCTTAAATTTGATAAATTATTATGCTTTACATTAACCTTTGTTAATTTTCAGATAAAAGTACAATTTTTCACTTCAAAGTTAATTTCAAAATCAATTATGAAAAATCGTTGAAGGACAAAGTTTTTTCCACTGTTTGGTAATTATGAAGTAATGAAACATGTTATCATGATGGGTTTGAATGTTTACGAGTCTACGTGAAGATAATCGACCTTTTCTCTTCACTCATAGCAAGTCTTAATCATTAACCTTTTTCTTTCATCATTTGCTCCAAATAAGTTTTTTGCTTTATTTGAGAGTTAAAATAAAACAGAACATAGCAACCCTCAAATGTTTTTTATCATCAAAGAACACATGCTATAAGATGGTGTTGTTTCAATCACATTTAACTACTTGAAATAAACTGTACGAAAGCAATATGATGACGGTTGTTAAATTAGAGAAGGAAGTTGAAAACATTTTAGGTGGTAAAGAAAGTAAAGCAACAGAACATGGTGAGAGATTGTGATGGAAGCAACATCGATATACGATGAGAATTTGGTTATGGGGACGTATGCATGCTTTGTGGAGATTCCATGGAGGAGATGGGTAAGGTTGATTGGGATTTTAAAAAGCATCGGATTCTTTTTTTATGGGGAGGATATTCGTCACTATCAAATACTATAATATATATATATATATATATATATATATATATATATATATATATATATATATATATATATATATATATATATATAGAATCGAATTAAGAATTAAAAACTTAATTTTTAGCTAATTATCATTATTTTTATTTAATTGTGTAATGATTTAAAATATTAAATAATTAATTTTTCAAATATTTTATATATGAAAAATAATAAGAATATTTTAGTAATTTATTAAATCATATAATTAATATATTATTTTTTATTTCAAATCAATTATAAAATTTTCATTCATTTTTTTATCATCCTTTCAATTTAAACAATTAAACTTTTCATTCTATTTCTCTTCATTTTTTTCTTTTGCCACTTCTTCAATTCCTCAACCACCTCAACAACAAGGGCTAATTGATTGATAAACTTAGTAGACCCAACCACATGAATTTGAAATATGATAAATATAATTTTAAAACAACAATACAAAACTATTAAATTATGTTGAACTAATTTAACTATTTTTCTTTTTTCAAAAATATGTAAATAAGTTAAATTAAAGAGTAAGGAAGATAAGGGAGAGGGAGGTTGTAGAAAACAAAGCCTTGGTAGTTGATTTAGTAGTAAACAAAAGCAATATGTTTTGTCATATGAAGTGCACATATGGATATGGATTTTGTTTCATGTAATTAGCAAATTAGTGTTTGAGTATTTTATAATATTCTAAGTGGGAGAGAGAGACACTGACATGCCCTAAGATTTGGTATGTTATATATAGGGCAGTGTATGTAGGTATTCATATAATAAGCAAGTCTTGAAAGTGGTGTATGCAGTTGTCACCTCTCTTTCCATTGGTTTTGGCTGAGGCTAACTAGCATCCTCTGCACAAGATTCCTCTGAATCCCTATGCTACTCTTTTTTAGCCTTCTTCTTGCACATGAAAACCAGAGGATAAAAACACCAACAATTAATCAGATTTTTAGTATTTGGGTGTGCTAACACTACTATTAAGATCAAATAACACCACAGAAGAGCACAAATATCATAACATGTTATTCTTCTATTAAAATTCGAGTTCCACTTTTATAATACATATATATAATACATTTCATAAGATGTCATGTCATTACATACTACTAAAAATAAATATAAATTTGTTAAAAAGCAGTATCAGAATAATATCAGTACCTTCCTATTTTTGTCTTTAAAAAATTGGTTAAGAGTTTAAAAGGATTAGAAACAACAAATAAAGTGTATTAACTAAATCATTTTGAAACAGCTGTCAGTAAATGGTGAATCATTGGAACGTGACAATGTTTCCATATATATATATATATATATATATATATAGGTCTGAACTTGGGGTTCTGTGAAGTGACATGATGAGTGAGGTTGTTCTACTGCATAGCCTCACATGAAGAGGGTGAGCAGAATTGTTTTGTGATAAATAGGGGGTACGTCGAGGATAAATAATAGGATAATTGCATTGCATGTTTGTGAAAATTATGTAAGTGGTGAGATTTCTTTGTCGGAGAGAGACAGGAACAGGTAAAGAACGTAAAGGGAAAGGGAAACGTAGGAGCTAACAGTGATAGGTATGTTGTGTAGAGGAGCAGAAGGCACAGTCCCCAAGGAAAGAGTACTGTTATGTGACTGTGTTGCATTGGTTTTAGATGTTATTGGGGTTTCTTTTTGTCTGCATTGTGAATTGGAATATATGTGAAATTATTAACAATGTGTGGTTGGTTGGTGCCCTTAAAAGGTGAGAGAGATTGAAGGGTTTTCCCTTCTAGTTTGCGTATTGTAATGGTGGGCATAGCAGAAGCCATGATCCACAGTTGACTTGTCGTTGTAAAGATGCTTCCCCACCTTCTCCTTTGGCAAAAAATCATGTTACCTTTTCTCTTTGACTCCACCCCCCACACTTTCCTCCATCCTCTGAACTTTAATAATGCAACTTCTCTCTCTCTCTCATTTTACCATCTCAAACTCAAAGCTGTGACTGTTATTCCAATGAAGTCATAAACCACAATTTTGTCACTCTTGTAAGCACTTTTTCAAAGTTAAGAAACCTACCTGTGGTTGAACTCCTCACACTTTTCTGTCATTTGCTATAAACTCTTATAAATAATATGGTTTAGCACTACTGCAGAATAAGCAGGGGTAGAAGGCTTTCAACGTCGGTTCCAATGACGTCGTTGAATCAGGCGTCGTTGAATGTCAAAGACTTCTACGTCGGTTCATCATACTCGACGTTGAAAGTGACTAAATTCTACGTCGGTTCTTGAACTAACCGACGTTGAACTCGCTCAAGCGACCGGTGTACTCGCTTGAGCGACGAAACCTTCAAACAAAGGGGATTCTCGGGTGCTGCTTCGCTCAAGCGACCCACGTTTCGCTCAAGCGACCGACGTTACAACGTCGATTAATACAAATCCGACGTAGAAATGAGTAAATTCTACGTCGGTTATTGAACTAACCGACGTTGAAAGTCCTTTCTCGCTCAAGCGACCTGTGTACTCGCTTGAGCGACGAAACCTTCAAACAAAGGGTGCTCGCGGGTGCTGTTTCGCTCAAGCGACCAACGTTTCGCTCAAGCGACTGACGTTACAACGTCGGTTAATGCAATAACCGACGTAGAATATCCCTTTTTTTTTTTTAATTTTGGTCTGTTTTTGTGCTACCATACACGACCTGCTATATAAATCTCAGTCCAGCCAGATTTACACAATATATACACAATGTACAAAAATCTCAGCCGAGTCTTTTCACATAATCACTATATATTTACACAATACACAAAAATCTCAGTCCAACCACATTATGTACATAATACACAAAAATTATCAATCAATCCTATTATTCCTAACTACTTGTACAAACTTTTCTGCCCATTTGTTTCGAACCATGTCTATAGTATCCATAGGCAAAGGTTCTATATCTTTAAATGCCTGTAAGAAGTTCACAATAATAGAATGGTAAACCCTAAGCAATAAAAATAAAGGAATTGAATATAATAGCAAATGTCAACTTACCTCGTCCCAACTATCCTGAATGCAACCAAAAATGATGAGCCACATCCAATACATTACATAGTAGCCGCACTCGTAGCCTCCATTTTGTTTGTTACACTAAAAATGAGTAAATATGTTAAAAATAACTATTAAATTTGAACATAAATTAATAGATAGTATAATATACATAAAGGCTACTTACTTTGATAAAATTCCAATTTGGAGCTGTGCTTTTACTTGTGTGTTTTCCATCTAATGTACTACAAACCTTTAAAGCACTATATATTGAAAATAAGGGGATTAGAAATAGAATAATCAAGATGTTTAGACATAATATAATAAATACTTACTCGTTTACAATATTTTTTAGCTCCATGTCCGGTTTTCTTCCCAATGAGCAGAACCAACACACAAGATTCTACTTTGGACAAATAACTAATAGCTGCCGAGTGGTTTCCGTATATACACATGATAAGAATCTATTAAAAAAACTTGTGTAAAACCGGAAGAGGTCTGGGATAACTTACGAATGATGGTATGCTCCAAGGTAAATATCTCTTTTAGAAACAGATCATCCAATTCTGGATGTAACGAGAATTTGATCACGCTTATTCCCGAGACTTTTGTATGCATTGAGGCTCGAAGAATCCATACACATGACCAATGCCCTGCTCCACTATCATTTCGTGCATCATCCTAAAATATGCCAATTTAAGTGAACTTATAGCTTATATATTTACTAAAATGAAAAGAGTCATGAAAGATATGAACTTACAATGTCCAAAATTGTAAAACAGCTATATTTAGACATTGATTGCCCATCCCAATCTCCAGGGCATCAGTGTGGAAAATGTATAGGGGGATATTGCTAGAAGCCATCCCAAATAATGTACAATCCCATGGAACTTGGAATGACTGCATATATAATTGTGGGGAAAGAGACAAGAGATCAAAAATTGGATTTGGAGAAGTCTCCACAACTGGTGTCTTCTCCTTAGATGCAGAAGGAGTGACAATAGCTTTACCCAAGTCTTTTGGCTGCCGAACATCCTACATATTTTATAAAATATAATCATAAACAATAAATCAATTTTTTATGTGTTAGATGTATTATAACCATACATATACATACCTTTGCCATG